TGTTTGAGGCAAGAATCAAAGTAAAAAGGGTTTTGAGATGGGATTTATTCCAGCAAAAATCAATATTTCCATTGATGTTCATGTAGAGGATAGATTGAGGGCTATTTTGAAGTTGGCCAGAGAAGGTGAGGGTGATCAGAGCAAGTACAGTAAGGGTGGAACATGGAAGTTATGTACACTCGGCTAGAGGTAGAAGAGAGGAGGAAAACTAGGAGAATTACTAGTGGCATGGAGTGCAGAAGGGTTAATACTACTCCTTGTGCTACTGCATCTGATAATCACGATAGCACCATTAATTTAGGAAACAAAAGTGTTGGTGTAGTTATGGGCTCTATTAACGAAAGGTCTAAACAGCTGGTGGTTGTTATAATAATAATTGCCTTCTTAATCAGAGTTCTAATTCAAATAGGTCATCAATTAAGGGATCTAATGGATATAGGTCAAGGGTAGTTGGTAAGGCCCATAGTGAGGGGGCCCCAAATCAAATGAAACGGGTTATGTCAGCTGCGTCTTCTTTCTCGGAATCCTTTGTTTATTATAAAAAGTGCTATCATGGTAAGTTTAAGGCTTTGGATAATTGATCAGGATGGGCACATTAAACTTTCAAATAGTATGCCCAGTCGGGAATTTTTTTATCCAAGTAAGCATCTTTCGTATGCTGAAGCTCTGTTTACTTCAATCGATGTGCTGTTGACAATTTATTAGGGCATGGAGACGAAGAGGAGGTGCATGAAACTGAGGAGCATGGAGTGGAATCTAGGGCATGTAATTTGTTTATAGTTGAAATAAGGAAAGGGTTTCGAAGTGTCTTTCCTCGAGCAATGTTGGAAGAGGGAGAAATGTACAGTCTTGAACAGAAAAATTGACTGATGATTTGACGAAAAGCAAGGAAGCGAAGGAGAACATGAAAGCTGGGCTTAATAGTGCTGAAATAATTATGGGAGCCTGGACTTGCAGATAGAGATAATGACATTAATGGTGACTTTATTATTTGCCAACCACAGAAAAGGTAAGTTTTGAAGATGGACATATGGTTTCTCAAATATGTAGGACATTCAGAAGATGGATGATTTTTGGAAGATGGTAATGTCTACGCTTACGAAACTTTGGCTGGGTTGGAAGAGTGTAGTACTGACGAGGACACATCTGAGGAAAGTCTTTTGTTGAATAAGCACAAGAGACCAAAAATATTCTCTCTTTTTTGGTGTTAAATTTGGCAAGACGGTAGAGTTAATGATGGCAGTTACAGTTTGTCCCCCAGTGCACTTTTTGTACCTTTTTCTTCTTTTAAATAAAATTTTTGTTGCGTATTGAAAACAAAGGGCTGGACTGTTCAAACATAACAAACTGTTTATACGAGAAATCAAAAACTATATCTGTTTGGAAATAGACTTGCCTAAAGAAGTGATGAGAAAAAATGTTGAGATACTTTTAGAACAATGTTTTGAAATCCAAGTATTAGCCAAATCAGAAAAGTGACCATGTCAGGGTCACTGGTTTAATTGTCGGGTGAACCGGAATCAAACCGTGACATCATAATTACTTAATAACTATATTAAAAATTATATCTAAAATAGGTATTACATAAGCATTGTATATTTATATTCATGTTATCAGAAAATGCTAACACCCTAGCGAATTATGTATTGGTACGCACATTTCGAAATATAGTACACTTCTGTTCCAAAATGATAAATTTAGTGGTTTGAAGCAATCTGGAATTTTTTTTTCCCGATATATTTTCTTAATTTTTTTTTTTCCTTTGGAGGAAATGAATCAAATATAATGAAGTAAAATCTAAAGTGAGTTAAGTTTTGACATGACAAAACATAAAAAAAATGAGTCATAATGCTCACAGAAATGTTTTGCTACCTAAAAAAAAAAAATTACATTTTATTGAATACTTAAAAGAAAATTACACTAGAAGTATTTAAAATTCTCAAGTGTAATATATACAAGTTTACCTCCATCATACCACATTTTAGAGCATGTGGCATACTATGTTCTAGTTCCCGATCTACACACTGGAACAATCCATGTTCTAGGTAACATAGATTTATATAGATATGTTTACTAACTATATATGTTTTATATTGATATTATTTTGAGAGAAAATGAATTGAATACATTAAATAAAATATATATACCATATGTATAAGAGCAAGGAGCATTGTTGCTCTAGTGGAGAGCAGCAGCACCTTTGTACCTGAGGTACTGTGTTCAAATCCTTCAAGCAGTGTTTTTGAATTCCTAGACCATGCGTGTTTGAAGTTCGGCCGGTTCTCTCCAACCAGCACTGGTTGTCCGGTCAGCTGGTTCAAGCATGGGTTTCTCTGGTTTAAGCAAAAAAAGACCAGTTTTGGAACTAGAACGGGTTCAAGTGTGTATCTGTATTGGAGCCTAGACCCGTTGGCGTATCAACCGGTTGAACCAGCTGGTCCTGTCCAATTTTTAAAACATTGTTTTAGAATGGGCTTGCAAGCAAGGTTTCAGAGCTTTAAATTTGATAATAGTGAAGTGGGAAGAAGAATTGATGGTTAGGAAGCTAGCATATTCACTTTGAGTTGTGTTTATGACACCAGGACTATCTTTTAACATCATCATCTATGAACTTCCACAGGATTCAGAGTACCAGAAAATTTTCCAGCATTTTGTCTCGGGCTAAATCCCATCTATGTCTATACATTCACTGCCCTCTCTGATTTGGCTTATTTCTATTAAGGCTACTTGATCTTTTGAGGCTCATACCTTTTTCCTTGATGACTGAATCAGCTTCTTGTAATAATTGAATATGAATTTTACTTTTTGAAGGAAAAAACAAAGAGATTATTACAATGTATGATTAATTATGTGATTACTACAGGCAAATAATTTTTACAGCTTGTTTGGTAGCGTTTATATTTACAGTTTTTTTTGTTTATATTTATAGAAATTTTGAAAATTATAAATAAAAACTCGTTTTGTTTCTATTTTCGTTTCAAAAAGTTGTAAATAGTTTATAAATTAAAAAGTAGGAAATCACGGCAACCAACTGGCCACCATCTCTGACCATTAGCAATCACTTTCAGCTACCACTTCTGGCCACCACCCACCACCTCCTACGATTGACAACCACCTCAGCCACCATCTCCAGTTGTTGACTGTTACACAGTCTTGGGTAGAACTCACCCTAATAGCTAGCTATTAAGGTGAGAGTGCCCTTACGCTTATATGCTTAATATTACTTTAGTGCTTAGGCAATGGGAGACTTTGCTTCACACCCACCCTCACATCCAGCATGCTCACTTGGCAGCACCTGCGGTGTGCAGGCTAGGGACACACACTCTACCCATCCCTGACTACTCCGACTTTGATACCATGTTACATTGTCTTGGGTAGAAAGCTAGCTTTTAGGGTGAGCTCTACCCAAGACCGTGTAACATTGACAACCACCTCTTTTCACTTGTTTTCAAAACAAATATTTTTTTAAAAAATACTTGTGTACATTAAACACGTTTATGTTTATTTTGGATAAAAACGAAAACAAAAAAAACATGTTTGGTGCATAAGTATTTTAAAAATTTGTTTTGAAAACAAATGAAAATGGTGGTTACAGGAGGTAATTGTCGACAGTTGGAGATGGTGGCCGGCAGTGGTTGTTGGCCATGGGAGATAGTAGCCGAAAGTGGTTGCCATGTGTAAAATGAAGTTGCTAATGGCTAGAGGTGGTTATTGGCCACAAAAAGTGTCGGTCGAAAGTGATTGTCAATGGTCAGAGATGGTGGCCAGTCAACTGCCTAAAGTGGTTGTTGAAAGTGGCTTTCAATAGAAGGTGGTTACCTCCCGTGAGAGGTAGTTGGTGGCAATGGCAGGTGGTTAGCAGTTAAGGGAGATGATGGCTAAAAGTGGTTGACGGAGGACGTCATTTGTGATGGTAGCCAATAGTGATGAGTATGGATTGCAACGGGGCATGTTTGGAGTGGATTTGTTGTCCTCCACCCCCACCCACACCCAATATCATATCAGAAGTGGGACGAGAGTGGGGCAGGTTAATTTTATAGCTTTAAAAATAAGAAAATAGCAAAAATTAAAGGTAATATAGTATATTATTGATAATAATTTATAATTAATGAGAGTTAAAAGATGTAATATGATACATAAATGAGTGAAAATGAATATTAAGTATAATATTTTAATATTTTAGTTTTATTATATTAAAAAAATTAAATTATATATATAAAAATATATTTAATAAATAAAATTAAAGCAAGGACGGGATAGATAGAGACGGGGGAGCAATGGGTGGTAGTCAAAAAGAGTGGGAGAAAGAAGAAGAAGAAATGAAAAATAAATAAATTAAACAAAAAGAGAAACTAACTTTTTTGTGTTTATTGAATTAAATTTTGTAAACTGTTTATATTTTTTTGAAAACGAAAACAGAAACCAAACGAGTTTTTGTTTACAGTTTTCAAAAATTTTGTAAATATAAATAGAAAACAGTAAATATAAACGCTACCAAATAGGCCGTGTTTTTTTGTAAACTAAAAATAGGAAACTGTAAACATTGCCAAATGGCACCTAACTATTTATTACAACATGTTTTTGTATAATTATGAAGATGATTAAATCTGTTTTAAATGCACCATGTGGAGATTGGAGAATAAAGATGCAACTGACCTGAGCACTTCTCTCCTGATTATATAGTAGTTCATTTTGTTTGACCTAGTTTAAGAGTGCAGAATGTGCTTAATTGTGTGTGAGATATATAAGCTGCCCAAACTAGGTTTACTTTTAAATAAGGCTGAAAACTCGGAGTTTGCTCTGTTTTTCTTTTATCATATAGAAATGCAGCTTTCATGTTTTTTTGTTTTTTTTTTTTGGTTTATATTTCTGTACAAATATTCCCTATTTGGATCACTGGTGATTTTATGAAAAATAGACTGTTCTAGAAATTATATTCTTTGCTAGGAACTTTCTCTAAGATACTGCCAAACCCTTTATGTTTTTATTTGATCAAGCAGTGGCTCTGCAATGCTGACAAGTCCTCCCATGAACCTCGGTTAAGATTAAAGTATGTTAGAGTTCTCTTCCTTTATCTGTTTTACAAATTAGTACACTTAAATTCTTATAGAAAATGTTGCTTTAATGTAAATTGACACTAAACCATTCCACGTCTCTTTTGTTCCAGTTTTAATGTGTTTGGCACAATGCCTTTTGTAGGGCTTTCTTTGGCTCATTATACAGATGTTTGGCAAGAGGAGCAAGGGCAGTATTTCAAGTATATCCGGAAAGCGTTGCCCAGCGTGAGTTGATACTCAGTTTTGCTATGCGTGCTGGGTTTGCTGGTGGTGTGGTTGTTGACTTCCCCCACAGGTATGGGTTGGACTTATATGGGTTTGTGTCATAACGAGTTTGACACATTTAACATATTTATTAAACAAGTTGGGTTAGGTTTGTAGATCTCAACCCGATTGGACCTGCTTAATTAAATGTGCTGTATTAGCCCACATAACCTGAAACCAGTTTAACCCATTTAATAACACTATGATTTTTATGATTAATTATTTTTTCTTGTCCTTTTTCGCCGCATTTATTTTAGCTTCATTTAATTTTTTTTTTAAAAATAATTTTAATTACATTGCGTCAAGCAGAAATTGGGTTATAACTTATAAATGAATGAAATTAGCTGTAAATTTATATTTTTATTGTAGTACTTATTACATAACTGCCACTTTACATGAAGGTAAAGCTGGAAATAATTAAGAGCTCCCCCCTGACATCCACAAAAATAATAATGATAAAATAGAAGCTAACATAACTCCATGGACGATAAAAGTGGCCTCATAACTAATAAAGAAGTTCCCTGTTGTCTGTCTCATAGGCTGACCTATGGATGCATTTAGTATTTCTCTTTGAAGAATATGTTAATCTAAAATCTCACCCAAAAGGTGACCCTAGTACCATGGGCCTAGAGATTGACATCCAATGCATTTTGTTAGAATAACATATTATTAGTTGGGTTATTACTGTAATTATTCTATGTCTTAGGGTTCCCTTGTAATTATTAATCTTTATTAATATAAAAAGGGGATAATATCACAATCATTCCCTAATCTTGGTTTTGTCTAAAATTATCATGGTATCAGAGCCTAACCCTAAAACCTAATATTGTTATCCATCGGAGCCACCATCCATCAACCGGAGACAACCCACGCAGCCAGCTCCATCCGGAGGGGTTTCAGCTCAAGCTGAGATAGACCCAGGTTGTTTCGTGGTGGGTTGATGCCTGTCTAGGGTTCGAAACTCACCCTGCTTGGTCGACATTAGTACCGAAGATCACCCTAGGGTTCAAAACTCACCTAGGTTGGTCGACATCCTCATCGTAGACATCCTGGTCTCTCGTTGGTCTTTGCCGACAGGCCTCCTAGCCTAGTCGACCACTGGTGAAGGCTTGCCTCGCCTGGCCGACTGTCTCAGACAGCCCCTCTGTTCTAGCCGACAACCATATGCCTTCTTTGGCTTCATGCGACAGCCTCTGGTATCGTCTCTCTGCTCATCTCCCTTTCATCTCTTTGTTTCATGTGACAACCTCTGGTCTCTCTGTTTCTTTGAACACTGGTTCTGTCTTTGAACACTAGTTTCTGTTCTAGGTTTTTTCATTTCTTTTTATTAATTTATTTATTTTGTTTCCGTGAAAAAAAAAAAGAAAAAAAGAAAAAAAAAAGCACTCTATGAGTTCTTAATTCTTTATGCTTTCATAGTGGTAGTTGTGTCTTTCCTTCCACCACCTTCTCGGTTTGTGATTGGTACTAGTTTTGTTGATGGTTCGGTAGTACAGTATCTATGGCAGATTCCACTAGTGTGTCCACTACTTTTTAGACACCTAGGAGTGAGAGTTCCATTCTACCTATTACTATGACTGATAACCTCAACCCTAGTCTTAAAATCACCACCTCTTTATTTAATGATCAGAACTATCTAGCGTGGTCACAGAATTTGACTATTTTTTTGAAGAGTAGAGGGAAGATGGGGTATGTTAATGGCAGGATATAGGCACCTAGCACCACTGACTCGGGTTATGACCAATGGGATATTACCAACTCTTTGATTATGGGTTGGCTTATTCATTCGATGGTACCAGAAATTGGTGAGGACTAATTGTCTATGGAGACTGCCCAGGATATTTAGGATGTTCTGGCTGTAACCTATTCCCGCAAAGGAAATTTCTCACAAGCATTTGAGTTGCGTCGCTTTATTGAGAACTCTGTTCAAGGGAAGCAGACTGTTCTTTAGTACTTCACCTTCCTCACCAACGACTGGAAACATCTCGATCACCTGCAGGACTATAAGCCTGTTTGCACTGCTAATTCAGTCGGGTACAAGAAGTTCATCGCACAGGAAAGGGTCTTCAAGCTTCTGGCAGGTCTCAATGTGGAGTATGATCCTGTTCGGAGTCGAGTTTTGGGTATGGACACTCTTCTTTCACTTCAGGAGGCATTCACCTATGTACAGAATGAGGAGAGTCGCCGGTCTGCTATGATGTCACCTGTCTCTACTGATCGCTCAGCCTTACTATCTATCCCTTGAGATGGCCTCAGCTTGACTCCCATTCCTCCGTCTACTGCCAAGGAGTCTGTATTTTGTGATTACTGTCCCAAGCCTCGATATACTCGTGAGACGTGTTGGAAGCTTCATGGGACTCTATCCCGGGGTCGAGGGGATTGGTCTGGTTTTAGAGGAGGTCGATCAGGCTAGTCTAGAGGACGTGGCTCTCATTTATTGGTCCATCAGTCTAGTGCTGTTGGTACACTTGATTCTACTTCCGCTTTCGTTGGCCAGGCTTCTAATGGTCTCTCTAGCATGACCACTCATGAGCTTGAGGATGTTTTGCGTCACTTGTTGGACTGCCAGTCTTCTACTGCTCTCAGTACATCTTCCTCGTCATTTGCCCGCTCAGGTAACTTAGTCTCTTCTCCTCGTGTTTTCCTTTCTCATTAGTCTTTGCCTTGGATTATTGATTTTAGTGTCTCAGATCATATGTCTGGATTCTTTGACCTTTTCTTTGCCTATAAACCCTCTTCAGGTCAGGACAAAATTAAGATTGCAGATGGTACTATTTCTTCTATTCTGGGAAAGGTTTAGTCTATGTCACTCCTACCATACCTCTCTTTTCTATTCTCCATGTTCTTAACTTTTCTGTAACCTGTTATCCTTGAGTCGTATTACAAAGGATTTGAATTGTAGCGTGACTTTGTTTTTTTGATTATTGTCTTTTTCAGGACCTTGTCACGAGAAGGACGATTGGCAGTGGTAGTGCAAAAAATGGTCTCTACTTCCTGGATCAACCGGATATGCTTGCTCATTCTTCCATCACGAGTCCTACCACCAAAGATGATTTATGACTGTGGCATCGGCGTCTTGGGCATCCTTCTTTTTATCTACTTAAGTATTTTTTTCCATTTGTTTTTGCAAACAACAATCACTATGCTTTGTTTGAGTTTTCTAAAAACACTTTTTAAAAAATTCTACTTTCTTGTTTTCCGTATTTTTTTATTTTTTACTGAATTTTTTTAATATTTTAAGCAATTTTTTTTTTTTAATTTTTAGACACACCTAACATAAATACACTTAAAAAGTATAATTTTTTTGAAAAAAATCTTTAAAAAATTTACTAAATAAATACAAAAAAAAAAAGCGAAAGCTCAGTACATTTTTTTTGTATTTTTGTGTATTTATTAATTTTAATTTTTTTAAATATTTTTTCACAAATATTTTATTTTTTAGACACATCTAAGTAAGATGCATCTAAAAAAGTAAAAAAAAAAAATGCTTAAACTTTAAAAAATATTCACTAAAAACAAAAAAAATTAATTTTCAAAAAACTTAATTCAGAAAACTCAGACCAAACACACTGAATGTGTCTGAGTGTTTTTTTGAGTCTTGTCAACTTATAAAACAACACAGAGCCTCTTTTGCTCTCAGTTTTAATGAAAGTTTAGTTCATTTTTCATTAATACATTCTGATGTCTGGGGTCCATCTCGTGTTATGTCTGTGAAAGGTTATCGATGGTTTGTTACATTTATTGATGATTTTTCTCGTACTACTTGAGTGTATCTCCTGAAAAACAAGAGTAAGGTTTTCTCTATATTCCACATTTTTCACAAGATGATTTGTACTCAGTTTGGGTCCACTGTTAAAGTCTTCTGTTTTGATAATGGGGGTGAATACATAGATTCTGGGTTAGGCCAATATTTTTTCTGCTCATGGCATTATCCATCAAACCTTTTGCACCAATACCTCTCAACAAAATGGGGTGGCAGAACGTAAGAATCGTCATCTTCTTGACATGGCTAGGTGCATGTGTTTTTCCATGAGTGTGCATCGATCCTACTGGAGTGACGTTGTTCTCATCACTACCCATCTTATTAATCGTCTTCCTACCCAGGTTTTGCAAAAACAAGTTCCCCTTCAAGTCCTTGTAGGTTCCGAGTCTTTATTTTCTGTTCCTTTCAAAATATTTGATTGTCTGTTTTGTCCACAATCACTCTCATCCTCGTAGTAAGTTGGACCCTCACTCCCTCAAATGTGTTTTCCTTAGGTACTCTCATACTTTAAAGGGATATAAGTGTTATCACCCTCCTTTTCGTAAGTGGTTTGTGTCCATGGATGTCACCTTCTTTGAGTCCTTGTCCTATTTCTTGTTCTCTCTGGTGTCACAGTCCTCCCTTCAGGAGGAGCCTTGGTGTGAAGTGATGCTTGTGATTCTTATGGTGGAACCAGTTGTTCTTGCACCACCACCTCTTACTAGGACTAGGAAAGGGCAAGTTTATGTTAGGAACAAAGACAGACAGGAAGTTAACTGGATACAAGAGACCACTTTTGCTCCCTCACTGCCATCTCCTGCTTCTGATGAGAGTCTAGGTAACTTTGAATCTCTTGAGTCCACTGATCTTGATACTTCTATTGATCTTGATATTCCTATTGCCAAGAGAAACTGATAAGAGTCCAGGTAACTTTGAATCTTTTGAGTCCATTGATCTTGATGTTCCTATTGCTAAGAGAAGGTGTGAGATCTTGTACTCGACATCCTATCTCAAATTTTGTGTCCTACTTTCATTTGTCATCCTCATATAGAGCTTTTGTGTCAAATATTTCTTCTATTAGCATTCCTAACCATTTTCAGGATGCTCTTGCTAGCTTTGAGTGGAAACTTGCCATGATTGGGGAAATAAAAGCACTTAGGAAGAATGACACTTGGGAATTGACTGAGTTACCTAAGGGCAAACGACCTATCGGATGCAAATGGGTGTATACCGTGAAACACAAAGCGAATGGTTCTATCGAGCGTTACAAGGCTTCACTTGTGGCAAAAGGGTTCACTCAAACATATGGTGTTGACTATTAGGAGATCTTTGCACCTGTGGCTAAGATGAATTCAGTCAGAGTACTTCTCTCTCTAGTAGCTAATTTAGATTGGCCACTTCATCAGTTTGGTGTGAAGAATGTCTTTCTCCATGGTGACCTAGAAGAAGAGGTTTATATGGACATTCCTCCTGGTTTTGAGGATCATCAGACAAAGGGTAAAGTATGCTAGTTTCGGAAGTCATTATATGGTCTCAAACAGTCTTTAAGGCTTGGTTTGAGAGATTCACTTAGACTATGCTTAAATTTGGCTTCAAACAGAGTCAGGCAGATCACACATTGTTTGTGAAACATTCATCTCGTGGTAAGACTACAGCGCTCATTGTTTATGTGGATGACATAGTTCTTACAGGTGATGATAGTGAGAAAATCCCGCTGTTGAAGAAATATTTAGCAAATGAGTTTGAAATCAAAGACTTGGGGAGCTTGAAATATTTTCTGGGAATTGAAATTGCTCACTCCAAGAATGAGATATTTTATCTCACAGAGGGAGTATGTGTTTGACCTGTTGAAGGAAATTGGGATGCTTGGCTGCAAAGCTTGTGACACTCCACTATAACCCAATTAGAAACTGGGGGATGATGAAGGAGGAGTAGTTGTTAATAGGGGGAGCTATCAGCGATTAGTGGGTAAGCTCATCTACCTATCTCACTTCCGTCCTGATATTGCTGTTGCTGTCAGTGTGGTTAGCCAGTTTATACATGCTCCTCATCAAATTCACTTCGAGTCTATCATAAGAATTTTGAGGTACTTGAAGTCTGCTCTTGGTAAGGGTCTTTATTTTTCAAAGCAAGATCATCTTCGTGTGGAAGCCTATACAGATGCTAACTGGTCTGAATTAGTAACTGATAAGAGATCGACTTCAGGGTATTGTACCTTTGTTGGAGGCAACCTAGTTACTTGGAGGAGTAAGAAACAGAATGTAGTTGCCAGGTCAAGTGCAAAAGCTGAGTTTAGAGCGATGGCACAAGGGGTGTGTGAGCTATTATGGATCAAGTTATTGCTGAGTGATCCAGGTATTGATTAGACGGACTCCATGTGGTTATACTGTGATAATAAGGCGGCCATCAACATCGCTCACAATCCGATTCAATATGACAGGACAAAGCATGTTGAGATTGATCGCCACTTCATTAAGGAGAAACTCACTAGTGGCACAATATGTACTCCATTTGTGCAGTTTTGTGAACAACTCGCTGACATTCTCACCAAAGGAGTTGGGAGTAAGTCATTGCATGACGTCCTTGACAAGTTGGACATGAGAGATATCTTCGCACCAGCTTGAGGGAGAGTGTTAGAATAGCATATTATTAGTTGTGTTATTATTGTAATTATTTTATGCCTTAGGATTCTCTTATAATTATTAATCTTCATTAATATAAAAAGGGGATGATATCACAATCATTCCTTAACCTTGGTATAATCTAAAATTATCACATTTCTCATAACAGAATGCTTTCAATCAAATGATGCAAGTTTATGGCAGATACTTCACTGAAATGTTTCAAAAGGGCTCACATTTCAGCTTATCTTCTATAGCCTATGCTTGCCAGTCTAAAAAACATAAACTAGTGTTCTTGACATCATTCCTGATGGTACCCCCATTGCCTAACTACTGAGTTACTGAGGGTGGAATCTTCATTGTTAATCTTCATCTTATCAGTTGGATGGGAAGTCTACAATGGGGGCCCATTTAAGTTGCAATCGTGGGAGGTTCATTGCCACCAGTTGCTCCAATATAAAATACTTAATTGAATGAAAATACAAAGTGATGCTAAGAATTGAAAATTTTCGATTTTGCAAGATTGAAGGACCTTTACATTCAAAGGCAGACATTTGAACCCAATGTTTTTCTATTGAATTTGAAGAATTGAATTTCTTTTGATCCAAACAACCTCAATCCATGATTGCAGAGCTCCACATAGTTTTGGCTCTCTCCATTTTTCTTCAGAAGTGCTCTCAAGTATAGCTTGAAGTACAGAGGGCTCACCCAACTACTAGTCTTAAGACTTGGAGCATGAGAAACAGGGCAATGTGCAAAAGATTGGTTGGAAGTTTCATTTTTCCTGATAAGTAAACCACAACAGTCTAGTCTAAGAGCATTAGCTCAAAGCATCATCTCATTGGTATCAACTTGCTAAAGAGTTGCTGGCTAAATTAGAGCCTTAGCTTTGGGAGGTGTCTTGGTCTCTATAATTAGCTTTGCTGAAGGGAAAGTAGTAGGGGTTTGAGAGTCTTTTAAAGTTGATAGTAATGGGATTAAAATGGAAAGAATTGTCATGAAAAGGCATAGAATGTGACGAGCTATCAAGTTTTTTGATAGTATGTGCTGGCAGTGTAATTTGTATGCTACAACATACTTGTAAGTATTACTTCAGTTTATTCTTCAAATCCCTTGCATAGCATCTCATTTTCTTTCTGGCTGTATGTGTGTGCACGTGCTCGTATGCTTGCACGTGCAGTTCCCAGTAACCTGTTGTTTAATAATTACATGGTCTATGAAGATATTGCTAAACTATTATTACTCATTGGCTATGTTCATCTATACTTATTGTCTTTCAAATGGGGTTCTACAAGTAAAAGGCACTACAACGAATGAATATGTTCTCCAAATCATATTTTCTTGCCGGCTATTCCAAATGAGCTTACATTGCTGTTATGTCATCATTTTGAATAGAAACCTTGAAGTTGATTGATTAGCTGTGTTGCCATGTGTCATCTGAAGTGAACTAATTAGACACCTTTTAGGACTGAAAGGCTTGATAAGAAAACTTCTAAGGCTGTCCTCTTTGGGAAATAAGACATCTTGAACTCTCTGGAGGATTAAAATTTGTGGCGGTAGACTAACTTGATACCATCTGTCTGAAACAGTACTAAGAGCAGAAAAGAATACCTTGTGCTCACTTGTGGTCCGCCGTCCCTGACCACAGCCACTCCAAAAGCGATAGGTGAAGATGAAGAGAGTTGTTCTGAAGATGAGACTAGTGAAGATGAAGAGAATGAAACAGTGAGTTCTCACATGATAGTTTCTCAGCAGTTTAAATTTGTCTATTGATTTATTGAAGTATTAATATCTTTTGCTTATTACAAGGCCAATATATGAACTTTGTCTACTTTTATTTTTTTGATAAATTATATGTACTTTGTCTATTGATTTATTGCTAGTAAATAGACCAAGTTTTTTTTTTTATTTATTTTTATTTTTTTCTGCTGGGAAAAATGACTTAGATTCTTTGTGCCATGCAGGTTTGCATCTCAGACAGGCATAGACCAAGGAAAAAGCAAAAAATAACAAAGAAAGGTAAGGGACGTGAATGGGTTTTGAGGAAGAAGGAACAGATGAGAAAAAGGGGAAATGTTGTGCCTCCAAATACAAAGTACACGGCGCGCAAGAGAAAAGCTCGCTTTTGATGATCACATATCCTGGTGGAAAATTTTGTATTCAGGCTTTTCTCTTATATTAATCCAAATTGGGAATTGATTTAGGTATTTCTTGTTTCCTGTGGTGATCTCGTGTTGTTGGTTTTTCTAGCCCTAATTAAATGAGAGTAATGTTAGGTGAAAATATGAAATTTAAACCTGATTGCAAAACCCACAAGAAACTGATTCACCGAGGCAAAAACAAGATGCCAGTAGCGAGTGCTTGAGTTTTGAGGTCTGGTTTTCGTATATTTGGAACCCAATATAGTTTTGTGTGGATGTGGTACACCATCTTCATCTTGTCGGACATTGAATGCTGATGAGTAAATTTTTGCTTTGTAAAAATTAGCAGCAACCTATGGTTTAATTGATGACATGTCAAAATTTGGTTTTATTCATTTTTATATGGAGCAGCTTGACTATTATAATTATATTTGCCATGTTAAAACATGCAAGCTGCTGGTTATGGTTAGGTCTGTTAATGTTAAAAGACCATATCTGATTTGTGCTCTTGGGATTTGGATCCTCTTCGGTAAGACTAAAGAAAATTGCTTCAGAGCTCGAAATTTCCGAAGCTCGAGTGGCCCAAATTCCAAAAATGATGTTTTAGATATACATATTTTTTTCCCTTTCTTTTATCTCTGAAACAGGAGGGGGGGAGAGAGAGAGAGAGAGGAGGGGAAACAAAGAGGAGGGCTCCACCCACTAGCGCCACCATCACCAATGCCGCCATTCTCTGTGTATACACATATTTGTGTATATGCAGATAGATTTGTGCACAGATTTGTGTGTGTTTACACAGATCTGTATACAGATCTGTGTATCTCTCTCTCTCTCTCTCTCTGTATCACCCTCTTTGTGTTCCCAAATCTGTATAGATCTGTGTAGATCTCTTTCTTTGTTCTGTGTGTGTGTGTGTGTGTCTCTCTCTCTCTTTGTTTCTCGATCAGTGGATTTTGATTTTAATTTTGATTTTGGGTGTTGTAGTGGAGCAGAAAATATAGAAGAAGAAGAAGAAGAAGAAGAAGAAGAAGAACAGAAGAAACAGTAAAGTAGAAGCAAATCTGTATATACACAGATCTGTGTTTGATTTTTTTGATTTTTCCTCTCCTCTATCTCTTTTTTTGATTATGAGTTATGGAAGAAGAAAAGAAAAAAAAAATAGAGGAAGAACAGATGGATTCTAGGAACACAGAAGAAGACAAAGGGAGAAGAAAAGAAAAAAAAAAGGTACCAAAACGACGTTGTTTCGTTTTGGAAGCTCCAGCCTTGATGGATTCGACCTACCTAGCGGGACTAAAGGCTAAATGTGCTGCAAACGGGAACACTGTACTTGTGAATTTCTGTATTTGATCCCAAGTTCTGTGTTTGCTATGGGTGCAACTTGGGGAGTTCGGGTTCAAAGGTTATCCAAACTTAGTCCGAGATGTGTTGAGAGTTGTTCAGGCCAATCTGAACGAGAATTACAATTTGAGATTGTCTGTTCAAATTCGACCTGAGTTAGGACCGAATTACTCGAATTGCACATAAATTTAGTTTTTTTTTTTTTGGGTGTGTAATTCAGTTAATTAGTTTGGTAAAATTAGATTGGATTTACATTTTTTTTTTCTATTATAAAAATATTACTAACAAGAAAATGAATAATTTATATAATGTGAAAGTGATAAGAGTTGAAAACCAACGTGGCGCTATGGCATTCTTTATAATATGTAGGGTAATAACAATATATATATATTCATAGTCTTATTTTGTAATAAAATATATTTTGAATTTTTTATTTTATTAATTTAAATCTTAATCTTTTGATTTATTTTCAATTTAAATTATTTATTTATTTTCGTTATGTAAAATCAGTAAGAAATGTATTTTAGCCATAAAACTTAATGTAGGTGTACGTAAAATGATTAAAATACTATTTTCATTAAGTTTAATGATTAAAATATTATTATTTTTTTCATTTATTTTATTTAACGAAAATAGATAGATGGCTTAGATTCAAAATAAATTAACATATTAGGATTTAAATTGAGAAAATAAAAAAAAAATCATAATTTTGTTACAAAAGTCAAATTCTAAGATTTTATTTATAATTATCCCTAATATATATGATCTAACGATCTAAATTATTTTAACATTATTCAATAGTTAATAATTTATATATACATTTAGTATATTTTTTTATATATTTATATATATAATTCGAGTTTCTTGTTACTCTAGTTGTTCAGTATCTTTGCCCAAACTATCTAGATTTAATTTGAGCTCTTGAATTTTTGCTAATGCCTATATCAAATTCAAAAATTTTATGTTCAAGTCTTAAAAAAATTTGAAATGAGCTTGAGCTTCTAAGTTTAGCTCGTCCAAGTTGCACCTCTTGTTTTTACATTCCTTCCAATTATTTAGAAGAGTAATAAATATCATGGAGGATTACATGTTCTTCTTATATAAATACTATACAATAATTCTAGGAACATAAAAACATTTATAGAATGAGATACAGATTTCTCATCAGGACCCATTATGAGAAGTCTATGTCCTATTCTGTAATTGATTTATGTGCTAAATACTATATTTAGGTCGATTAAAAGTTAACCACTATCCCATCCACATGTCAAATTGCTTTTCAAACTAGTATTTCGTTAATTTTATGGGCTATGTTGATGAAGAAACTATTTTTGGTATCTTGTTGACATGAAATTTGGCATGCACAATTGTTACGAGAGAAACATATGAAATAAAATTATTTATGAAATATCTCTTAATTTGGAGCCACAAATATTTCATATATTATTTCTATATTGCCCTGTTTATATCATACACACTTCTCTCTCTCAACACCCTTACTGCTTCCTCCACCACCATCACTCCAGTCACACCTACCAGTACCACCTCCACCAACACCACACCTAGCTCCAAATGCCCAAGATCCACCTAAAAATCTTAAAATGGAAAAGTGGAAATAAGACAATTTTTATTAAGGTTCATACTTCTTTTTTTTACCCTATGAGAAAATTTTAGAAATTTTGTTTGTTAATTCTTTAAAGAATAATACTATATGTACCAATCAATGTATTAATTAATGCACTAACAGATGATGTGACATAATTTTAGAGGTTTTGAATGTCTGTAATTTGTCTAATAAGTGTAGTCAGTAATAATGACAACACTAGTTGATACACTAGTGTGTATATTAATTGGTGCATGTAGTATCATCGTTCTTTAAAATGACTCAAAAAATGCTTGCTACAAATATTTGAAAAATCCTACGACACACATAGGCACCTCCTAGTTATGATCTTTGTGATAGTTGGTTATGGTTTACTATTGTATTAATTATGACTTATTATAATATTAGTTATGACTTAAGAGTTCTTTAATTATACCTTACGTTGTATTTGATTATATTTCTTTTTAAAACTCTAATAAAATTAAGTTATAATATTTGTGATAAACTAATAAATATCCTAACTTATATATATGGTATGATAGTAATACCCATCTTCAGTATGATCGCAAGCAAAGCAAGAAGAATAATCCATGAATAATATGTTGAAAAGTAGAGGGGAGAAAAGGAGAAGGAAGAGAGGGTGAGCCAAAGAAGAAAGGGACATGGTGCCATGTGAAGAAAGAGAGGGAGTCTGACACAAAAGGAGGACAATTTAGGTTAAAAGATGAAATATTTGTGTCACCATAAAAAACAGCCATGGCTTTCGGGTCACTCATCTCCAATAGGCTCTGCAGATACTCACTACCACAATTGGAGCATCCACAGTGAAAACCCTTCCACTGGTGTCAAGTGTTAATTATTTGGCCAGTTAAATTGTTTTTTGTTCATACAACAGCTAAACACATTGTTAATGCACATTGTTTGTGTCAGATGTTAAATACATTGTTAGCTGCAGTTAGCAAGTTAACACATAAAGAGAGAGAAAAGAGAGAGAGAAGCACTGACAATGTAGTAGGAATGGGGGCTCACTGCACAGGAAAATACATTTATTTATTTTATTTATTATTTATTTATATATATATATATATTCTTAACACACACCTTAACATATTCATTACACCACCACTTACTCTCTAAAATTAATAAACTCTTAACACACTTTAATACATATTTTTTTGTCATATAACACACTTTTTTAGCTATCTCATTGTGAATGTTCTTAAAGGATCCACATCAAACTAGCTAAAATCGTTTTTTAGCTAAATTTTTGATATTGTTAGTCAAAAGTGGACGTGCATCAGTCTCATTATTGTTCATCGCTAATGTAAGAGTGCTATAGTATTTTGCTACAACAAGCGAGGTACTGTTCATTGCCACAACACGGAGATTAGTGTTACCGGACATCTGGCCTGTCAACCGGCCAACGGTCAAAATATTTTTTTTTTTGATTGCATTTTTTAAGAATTATTTGGTTGATAACTCATCAATTTAATAATAATAATAAAAAAGAATAACAAACATAATAAGAAAATAATATTTTAATAAAATTAAGTTATAATAGAAAGTTTGATGCAGTAAGTACTAAAGATGTGACTAGTTAAAATAGTAAAATAACTTTTTTAGCTATAATTTGACTAAAAATTTGAAGAAATTGATACGGATGCTCTTAGAGGAGCTGTTTGTGTGGCAGTCTCCAATTTTTAGCTAGTTTGAAAGTATCATTTTGAGCGTCAATGGACCACTTAACACCCTCCTTAACATATTCATTATACACTTATTCATTGCATTATCTCTCACTTTCCAAATTAATAAACCTTGGATTATTTAATTTTTTTATTATTATCTTTTTATTAATTTTATATATAATATATTTATACATCACTTAACATCCTCCTTAACATATTCATTGCACAATCTCTCACTTTCCAAATTAATAAACCTTTTAACACAAAAAAATGAGTCACACTTTTATCACTTTTTATCATATAACATATCTTAACAAACAATTTTAACTATTCCAATGGTTTTAACAAGCTAACTGTTTTTTTTTACCTTTGTTCAATAAGTGTGTTAACTTTGTTGTCAATTATGACAGTAGCTAAAATGATTATAAATTATGGAGAGAGATTTTAGCAAACTTGGAGGACAGGGAAAGAAGGGGATATGAGATGATTATTTGATAGTTTTGGAATATTATTTTGCACTATTTATCACTTAATATTTTGTTAAGTTATTTAAAATATTCAACAAAAAATATTAGATTTCACAATTTTAAATAATGAAAAGCAAATTAGAATACCATATGAATTTACCTTAACAACAAAAAATAATTTCTTGGAACGGAGGGAAGGGGCTACACTTACCGACAATCAAGATCAGGAGAAAAGTGGGGACGAGTGAAATGTTATTCGGTGATTTTAGAGTAATTACCTCAATTTCGTAATTATTGTTCTTAAAAAGCAACTAATATGCTATTTCTAATATTTTTTATTTATCCATTAAATTAGAGCTACCCTTAATAAAATAAGGGGAGAAATGATGGGAAGTGGTCAATCGCATACGTCTCCCCAAAAAAAAAATAATAATAGTAATTGAAAAAAGAATTCACACCAATAAAAAAAATCTCTTCTAATTTTATATGTAATGATATGACAAATTACATATTAACTTTTGATTTATTACAAATTCAATCATGTAACTCAACTCCATTGCGATGTCATTGCAAATGAATTGTAAATTCCAAAGTGCAAGTCTTTAACATTAATCTGGAAGAGTTATCCTCTATCTTTCGTAAACAAAATTCTTGTTCCTTCAATTAAAATTCGCCAAGAAATAGATAATTAAATGTGTTGCTAATAATAAATTTAAATATATAAAATAAAACGTCATTTTCTTATGGAGAGTTATATAATTGGGAAGATCCCAAAACTAAATTAAATACGACAATAATTCCATGTACACATAAAAATCACAAAAACATGCATACAAAATCAATATGCAAATTGATTCTATGTAATGTGAAGACTACAACCATAATGAATTTAAACCACATTAATTTTTCTATATATAAATTACGAAATGTATTGTAGTGCTCTTAATGGTTCCATTCAACAAAGCACCATTTGGGTCTAACCCCAAATAAGACTTCAGTTATATATTTAGCAGTCCTTGTCGGTTCCTTGATGTTGTATTGGGATATTAAATTTGTGAAAAAATAAAATTAAAAAGAAAGAATAAGTGAACAAAGTAAAAGCTCATTGCCAATCTAAGATATCACTGGATCCGTGACTTGAATGTGACTTGAGTTGATCTCATAATGATCAATGCAAATGTCTCAAATATGCATGTCAAATTTTCAACAGACTATTACATCTGGAACCTATTGATTTTTACCATTTCAAACTCAAGAATGTGTAGCCTCATTTTTCCATATCATGTAAAAAGGTGCTTTAAATTTTAGTTACATCCACCAATGCAAGTTCTCCTTGAACCTGCATACATGACATTCTCCATTTCTATTTGTACATCAAAATATACCTAAATTCCAAGGAACTGACAAAAAGATATATAATCAATTACAAAAATTAAAAAGAATGGCCAAGATATCGTGCATGATGAATAAATTACCATCAACCAAATGAACACAACAATCAAATTCAAAACCCAGAATAAATAACCCAATTGAACCAATTAAAAAAGATGAATCTTCACCATTAATTAATAAAAAGTATGATGAATCTGCAATAAAATTCAGTGAAACAAAAAAACCCAGAACTTACAAGACATGAGATAAGACAACCCAACCACGAATATGATCAGATAAACAATCCGCTTCTTGGCTTCCTCAGCCAGGTCCCGAACCGTCACAGCCGGCTTTTGGGTGCTCATTTCAGACCCCAAGATTCAATCTTTCACACCACAAACTCATCAAACATACATAATAATCATGTTCCTCCCTATAACCCTAAATTCTCTTCCAATAAATGTTCCTTCCTATAACCCTCAATTCTATAACCCATATGAAAAATAATTCAAAAAGAAACACTAAAATTCTGAAACCCATTTCCCAAAAAAAACATATCAAACCCATCACCAAACTCAAGCAAGAACCAAAAATACTGTAATCCAAATCCAAGAGGAGAGAAACCCACAAAAATATGATGGATTGCAAATTTTTAAGTTGTAGTTTACCTCTAAATGGTTGCGATGTCGTCGCAAGAGGAGCGAGGCGAAACAGGAGGGCGAGAGAAGAGAGTCGGTGGTCAGTGGTCGAGAGGAGTGATGACAACAAGAGGCAAGGAGAGGTGCTCAGTAGTCGGTGAGTGGCGATGTCATCGTGAGAGGAGAAGGAGAGAGATAAGAGCGTATGAAAGAGGGAGGACTTCTCTGAAATGAGAAAGAGGGAGGATTTGGGCAAAGATGAAAGAGGAGAGAGTTTGATGAGCGTGGATCTCTCTTCTGTAGGGAGTGGATGAGTGTGTTTTGAAATTTGAAATTTGGAAAAGTGAGGTGTGACAGATGAGGATGAATGGTTGCAAAGTTTGTGGTTTTTGGGTGGGAAGTTCTAGAGTGAGTGAGAAGGTTTTCATCTCTACCGTCCATCTTCAAGCATAAATGAATCATGACCGTCAAAATGTCCTAGTAGGACAATTGTCTCTAGAATAAATTCAAAAACCCTCTTCCCTTATTATATAGATTTTATTCATATTTCATCTTTTTTTTTTCATTTCTCTTTCTAAATTCTTTTTCAAATCTCCCAACCAAACATAGCGTAAAGGAGAAAAAAGAAAGAAATGGAGAAAAGAGCTTCCACAACATTATATTTTTAATTTATTCTTTCTTTATGTACATTACTATTTGACACATATTCACCCTCTAACACTGTGTTTGGATATTTAAGAGAAAAAATAAAAAAAATAATTTGTCAAGTTAAGAGAAAAAAAAGTAAGAAAGAGATATTGTATTTATCTCTTCCTTTTGTTTGGTTAAGGTGGAGACAAATATATATATATATATATATTATATAGCCTTTTATATTTTTATTTATTTAGTACATAGATGGATAATTTTAATATTATATAAAATTAATAACTAATAATCATCTTATTTCTTATCTTTCTCAATCTTTTTGATTTTAAAATATTTCAAAAACAAATTATAAGAAAAATTAACACACACACATATATATATATATATTTATATACATATATATATCATTTCTCTTCATATCTCTTAAATCAATTTCTCGTCCTTGAGTCAATAAACAATTGCTCCTCTCTCTCTTTCTTGCTCACTAGGCAAGATGGTGCTTCTAACTTTTTTTCTTTCTTCTATTTCTTTTTTTTTTGGGTTCATGCTAGCCACTATTACTCTTTTTTATCTCCATCATTAGCTTGTTACCGATAAAATTTCCACATTTAAAATTTGATTCATGTCCAAATTTTAATGCTAAATGCGCTTTTATATGTTATGTGACCACATCAAATTTAAAATATTTTATTTTATAACGTAGAAACAGAGATTAAGGTACCATATTTATCGGTTGTCATGATAAATAGATCGTGAAAGTAATTAGTAATGTTTATTTAGTGGTGATTATTTTGATTTTTGATTTTGTTTTATTTTTCTATATTGTAGTAATGTCTATTTGTGGAAAAGTTTTTTCCTTTCTTGAAAGTTATCTTGTCCCAATGCGGATATTTGTTTCCCGTCCTATGTTGAAACTCGTACCTTTGTTCAAGTCTCGCTACATCCATAATTGAATCTTCTCAATTTCATCCCTCATGATGTGAATGAAAAAATAAAGTTTTAGAGAGAGAGAGATGGGAGTGGGTTTGTCTTCGTGTGGATTTTAGCCATGTCATTGGTAGTGGAATTAAGGGATCTCAGTTAAGGAAATGAATTATTTTTCATTTATTTTATAAGTAGTGGTACATCTCTTAATTTTGTTCCTCTAATTTCACTCCATTGACATAGCCCCCCATGTGAAGCAATTCCACACTCATCTTTAAGGCTTTACAAAATATTATTTAATCTGTTAAAACCGCACCGATTCATATCAATTCGCACCGTTCAATTAAATTTTAAAATTTATAATTCACTTTCGAAATCTCTCCGCTATAATTAACACACACACACACACACACACATATATATATTTTAACCTCTAATGAATTATCAAAATAAAAATAAGTGTGAGAGAAATTTAAAATGTAAAATTTGTTACAAATTATAGTTATATATATGAAACATGTTATATAAAATTAGTTTATGTTATATATATAAAAAAATATTATGCAAATTAGTATTATATATTATACAAATACTTGATAATTGGTTAGAATATTTTTTAATCTGTCAATCCGTCCAAACTCACCCAAACCGCGATATGTTAATCCGCCAAACCACAATTCAATTTATAATTTTACTTTCCAATCACCTTAATCACACTGTACATACCCTTACTAATCTCTCTCATGTTTAACCTTTCTAATTTTACATCATTAAAAATAAAATTAAGAGATGAATAATCATTCTTATTTTATACGCTGATATACTTAATCTTATTTTGAGAAGTGAGTTAAAAGTTAATTTTTTAAATAATTTAAAAGAAAAAGTGTAAAAAAAATAAAAAAATAAACTTTTAATTAAATTGTCAAAATAGGCCTTAACTGGACGCGTTATTACCAAATGTACCACTATGATTTTTACCAGTCGACATGGAAGTTTGTCAAAGTTGTCTACTTAGCTACCCCCATTGAATTGTGGTGGATGGTTGCATCACAATTCTTCAAAAAAACAAAGAAGAGAACATTAGGCACCACCGCACCAAGCAAGGAACCAACCATAGATAAATAGTTCTTCCTCACACTTTCACTTCTTCTACTCCCACTTTTACTTGGAGAGAAAACAAGAACAAAAACAAAAAAATGTGCCCCACGAAGCAAAATCAGAAGCAGAATCAAAATCAGAAGCATCAGATCCCCCTCACCGAACCCCCAGACCTAGACCTAGCAGCCGCCGCCGCCGACTGGAGAGCCGAAGCGATCAACGGCGGATCAATCAAACACGTGGACCTCCACAACGGAACCAACGGCTGGGCTTCACCCCCAGGCGACCTCTTCTTTCTCCGATCCAAAAACTACCTCACCAATAAACAAAAATCCCCCTCCGGCTCCTGGCTCCTCCAGCCAGCCGGCTTCGACTGGCTCCGATCCCCAACCAAGCTCGACAACATCCTCAGCCGCCCCGACAACCGTGTCATGAACGCGCTCCGAACCTCCCAATCCCAAGGCGAGTACCTAAAAACCTTCCTACTGGCAGTCAATCTCCAAGTCCCTGGTCGCGACCACCAACACAGCGCCGTCTTTTACTTCTCCACCGACGATCCCATTCCCTCCGGTTCCCTCCTCCACCGGTTCGTGGACGGCGATGACTCGTTTCGAAATCAACGGTTGAAAATCGTTAGTCGGATCGTTAAGGGTCCGTGGATCGTGAAGGCTGCTGTGGGGAATTACTCGGCTTGTCTCCTCGGCAAGGCTTTGACTTGTAATTATCATCGGGGCTCCAATTACCTTGAAATTGACGTGGATATGGGCAGCTCGGCGATTGCCAGCGCCATTTTGAGACTTGCGTTGGGGTACGTGACGGCCGTGACGGTGGACATGGGGTTTGTGGTGGAGTCGCAGACAGAGGATGAGTTACCGGAGAGGCTTTTGGGTGCTGTTAGGGTTTGTCAAATGGAGACTTCCTTGGCCACTTTTGTCGATACGACGACGTCGTCTTGTAGAAAACTAGGGCCTTCCAAAGTTGTTGATAATGATCATGATTGAGAAGAGAAATTCAACTGTGGTAAAAATAAATAAATAAAAATGTTTTTGTGTTTTTTTTTTAGTTCCATTTTCAATCTCTTTATGAGTTGATGACTTTTTACTCATTTTCTGCTCCAATAAAATGATTGTTAATGGATGCAAAGCAAAGCCCAATTTTCATTTTTTGTATTTAAATGCATATTCATAAGTTTTAGTTTTACTACTTTTTGATACAAATAATAATATGATCTGTGTAGGAGAGAAGTGATGAGAATATGGAATAGTAATACCCTTTCTTGTCCAGTTATGGATGTTTGCTTGCTTGCTTTTCTGCATTTTTTTTAGTACTCTGTTGTTTGGGTTTTAGATTTTGCTTTTGTTTTTCTTGGAAACTTTGACCCTATTGGGGGATTTGGAAAATTTAGAGAGGGATTTGAAAAAAGAAAGAGAAAAAGTTGATAAAATGTAAATATATTTTATTTATATTTTGACTTACCTTTCTTTTTTTTCTTTTCCAAATTTCTCGACCAAAGAAAGCGTGATGGGAACTCTTCTTTGATTTTGGAGGTGTGTGTCGCGTGCCTGTAAAATTACGAAAATGCCACATTCATAAGTTGTGGTCGTTTTAATTTTTTGGTAGAGCCATGGTGGGTGGAGGAGAAGATTTTTGTGGATGTTATTGTGTTTGTTGACTGGTAGCCTGACCCACCAATATTACAGTTTGATCTTTCTTTCAATGGTTCTAACATCCCAAAATTGTGTGACCACATTTCTTCTGTAAATGAGCGCTGTCCTTCCATTATCAACCTTTCTCTAACAGAAAATCATGGCTTTGTTGAAGCCATTTTTGTCATATACTTTTAAGACCCTCCGTTCCTCACTCCCTTTACCACACAAACCTGGAAGAACAACAATATCAATTGTATCTCTACAACCGCCATTCAAACTTTATCATCAACTAAGACAAGTAAAGAAACAATGGAAACAGTGGCATGCTGTGGCAGAGGTTGGTGGTGAGGTTGCGGTTGAAGGTGAAGGATCGAAAGATGATCAAAGTGTTCTTGACAAAGCGAGGGCTGAAAGGGTTTGGGTGGACTATGACTGGACTGATGAATGGTATCCTTTGTATCTCACCCAGAATGTTCCCGATGACGCTCCTCTTGGTCTCACTGTTTTTGACAAGCAGGTGGTGTTGTATCGAGATGGCAAAGGCCAGCTTCTGTGTTGTGAAGATCGGTGTCCCCATAGGTAACCCAATTTCTTTGATCTTGGTTAATGTTAATACCATGTATGATTTGCATTGGTGATTTAGGATTATCATCTTAGAAGTTCATTATTAGTGAGCCTTCAACTTTTATTAATGTGAATTTCTGATTAGAACGTGCTTTGTCTGGTTTTAGGATCTGTTTGGATACCCAAAATAAAGAACAGAAATTTTAAAGTGGAATGCTTAAAATTCTGTAAAAGGTCGTGTTTTATTGTGTGGATTTGAATTATGATTTCATGAATTAGAATTTTGTGTCGCTTCAAATAATTGAATGAATTGAAGGCATTTGACTTTGGTTTTTTTTTTTTTGACTCGAAGATTCAATTTGAATTTGAGTAAAAAAATCTCACCCCGTTCTTTAGCAGTGTGAGCAGCTTTTTAATGTCTGACCAAGGATTAATTCAAGATTAGGCCAAGTTTAGGAAGTCCCAAATAATCAATTTTTTTATTTTTTTATCTTTTTTCCATCCCATCACATCACCTCTCTACTTTTCTGCACATCTTTTCGTAAAAAGACAAAGTGCACTTATTTAGGCCATCCCAAATTAGTGTGTGCAGAGAGACTGAGGGGAGAGACTAATCGACACATATGGAACAAGAGTGTTGTGTTATTGAGACCCCAGGATATACATGTCTTGTCCCGAAAAATGTGCAGCAGTCATCTTTGCCTAAAGTTTGTAATGATCTATCTTCAATTCATGATAAACATTTCTAAGGTGCCCAGTAGAGAAATGTAAACTTTCTTAAAAATCCGTTGGCTTGATTCTGGCTAGTGCAAGTATTATTTAGGTGAAGAGTTTGAGAAAATGTGAAGTTGCTTTAAAATTGTGTATACACTTGGTACTTCTTTGAACAGTAAGGAGGGAAACAAAAAAAAAAAGAAAAAGAAAGAAAAAAAAGGAGGTCGTTCTTGTCACGACCCGAACCCGTCTCTAGAGGTTTGGATCATAACTAGCCAGTAATTATGAGATTACCTACGGTCTCAGATAGAAATTCAAAACATAATTAAATATATGGGGCCAAAAGCGAAAGCTGAATAATAAAACTGCCCAATGAACTGTGTACATATGGCATAAACAAAAACATTTATACGTTAATGACTCACATTCATACAAACATACTTTGATTATACGTTCATTTTAGCAAAGCTTAAACAAAAAGGTATTATTCAAAAACTTAAAAACTTAAACTGCTTAAAAACAAAATATGGTCAAACATGACCAATAAAAATAAAACAAAACAAAAGACGAGAGCCTTTTCTGAGAGGCATTCCATGACTGACATTACAAAACTTGGGTAATCTTCCACATGGTTCATTAGGGCTGGACATCCCGCTACTCACATACATACATATATAACAGAGTGAGTTAAAATCCAGTAACTAACATCAGAGTAAAGAGGTTATATGAATGAGTTCTATTATTTAACATAATTATTCTCATATTCAAATTCTTGTCATAGCAGAACTACCTCGGGCCCAAAACTTGACAGAATGACCTTTGGTCTAACATATTTAGAAGTACGGAATAGAACATATCACACTTGGCGAAACAACCTTGGGTCCAATCAATTACAGTTGTATAATGATTATTTGGTCAACACATAACAGATATCTCAGACTTATCAGATAATTAGAATGACCTTGGGTCCACCTTATCAGATATACGGAACGACCTTGGGTCCATCATACACATTCATACTTAATCAGTTCCATTAACAGATATCATGTTGATCAAACAGATAGAAGTTCATTCATATTCACAAAATCAAAAGTTCAGAAGAGCTTACCACATTGGAAACATTTAGAAAATAACATATATGAAAATATATTTATTAAGATATTACTTACAGTGATTTGATTGTTGACACGGCTTCATGGATCAATCTATACAATACATAACACATAACACTCACTGGAACACATTACTTAATTAAATCATTCTTGACTTATCCAATTCCTTTAAGTCCATTTCTAGCTTATTAATTCATTCATAGGCTTAATTCATGCCTAAGAATGCTTGGAAAGAAATGAAATTGCAAATATGAACAGAATGCAACTTTTCAAAATATGCTAAAATAGGACAGTTCGCTCTAGCATACTATTGGTCACTCGAGCGGACCACATAGTCTGCAAAAGTATTGGATAGTCGGAATGTAGGCTCGATGATCACTTAAGCTATGTGTAAAACAATCTGAGGTTGCTCGAGCGGAAATTTGGTCGCTCGAGCGTTTTGCAAAACCTTGTGAAACTACTGGATGTTCGAAATTTAGGCTGGATGGTCGCTCGAGCCAAATGCAATGAAGGTCGCTCAAGCGAGCACTTGGTCGCTCAAGCGATGTGCAATGTTTTGCAAAACTACTGGAAACTCTCATTGTGCGCTTGAGCGGTGACCTATGTTGCATGGACTCGGCACTTTGGGGCGAAGTACCCGTGTCGACATGACACGACACGGGTGCGGTTGTGGGATCTGTGTCGGGTTCGCCTCTCCTCTCTCGGACACGGCTAATCAAAAAGGAAGAAGGTTGAGATACTTACATTGATGTATGGATTTAAGATCTTGATCGTGTCTTTCGATCTTCTTCTCTGTCTCGATCTCCTTCTCTCTCTCTATCACGATCTCCTTCTCTCCCTCAATATCTCTCTCGATCATACTGTGCGTGTGTGAGAGGAGAGGAGAAGAGAAGAGATAGACCCATCGTGTTGCTGTGCGTGTGAGAGAGAAACGAAGAGGAGATAGACCCATCGTGTTGTTGCTGTGCGTATGAGACAAACATGTCAAAGCTGCTGTTGCTGTTTGTATCAAACTCTAATGGCTGGACCTAATGGGCTGGACCTAATAAATAAATAAAAGGCTTGTGGGCTAGACCTAATAAATAAATAAAAGGTTTGGGCTATTGACTAGTTAATATTATAAATCTTAATGGGCTGGATCCAAATAAATAAATAAAAGGTTTGGACACTGATTTGTATCATAATAATTAATATTATAAATTATAATGGGCTGGACCCAAAAAAATAAGGAAAAAATTTACACCTATTGGCTGGTTTGTATCATAATAAATCTTAATGGGTTGAATCCAAATAAATAAATAAAATATTTGGGCCTGTTAATAAACTCTATTCAACAATAACATGGGTTATTATATGACTTATCCATAAGTTTGATTTTATTTTTAAAAAAAAATTATTGGGTCAACTTTTTTTAACCCATCTTTATATAATAAAATATATTTAAAAAATAACTATTTAACTCATTTTTATATAATAAATATATTTTTAAAATAACTATTTAACGTATCCCCGTACGCGTATCCACATTTAGATCTATATCCACGTATCTTTAATTTTTAATTTTGAAGTGTCCAACCCCTAGATACGCACCCGCACCCGAGTCCGTGTAACATAGGCGGTGACTTCATCGCTCGAGCGATGATGTCGAATTTTGGGTTTTCAAACATGAAGAAAAATGCTGCAAACTAGAATTCATAGCCAAAAACTCTTGCATGAAATGTTCTGAACCTTGAATACATCTCTAAAACATGAACACAAAGTCAATTCCAAAGCCTTAGCTCAAATCTTCATGAATTCTACAAAATTGAAGCTTAAAATTTCATGCGTGTATGAACTTGACTCAAATTCTTCTTCTACAACTTTCATAACTTGGAATTGAACTTCAAAACTCTTCAAATCATTTATGCATGTATGATACAACTTTCAATTCAAACATAGTAACAAAATTTTATGATCAAAATAATGATTCTTCACATATTTATGCATGCCTGTATGCAAGGCCTCCAAATTCATCATCTTTAGCTCAATTCTTGTGTTTAATCTCATAATCTTCTTGAATTCACCTGCTAGGTGATTTAAATTCATGAATTGAGGATCAAACTCTTACCTAGAGTCTTCAATTGCACTAATTCTTGCAAAAACTTGAGTTCTTCTTCTCAATTCTTCAATGTGCTAGAGGCGTCAAAATCTCCAAGTTCTCCTCCCCCCCCCCCGCCCCCCCCGCCTACCGAACCCCACCCTCCATGCCCCCCCACACCTACCTCCCTCATATTAAATTGATCTCACTCTCTCTCTAAAATACTCCAACAGATTTCTTGAGCTCAAAAATGATTAATTTCTAACTTAACACATATATATACACATAATTAGCTTAGTAGACTAATTAGGGATTAAGTTAGCCAATTAAGGCTGAAGACTAATTAATTAAAACTTAATTTTTCTGAACTGAATCAAATTTTAATCAAACTTCTCAATAGGTTCTACAAATCATGCCATCCTAATTAAACTCATTAATTTTGGTTTCTAAAATCATTAAAGCCTTCAATTTCAGATTTAAAGCAGAAATCACAACAAATATTTCATCAATGAACAGATATGCATACAAATTGCACATCAAACACATAATTAACATTCATAATTACATAGATAAAGATATACTACATGATGACGTTGTCACTGTTCTAGTCAGTGGTCGTGATGCCAAAGTATAAAACTAGGAATTCCACACCGAGGATGCCAATAGAAATTACATAAGATAGTATAAAAGTATACTACATACATCGGTTCAACAAATTCAAATAACAGTACAAATTTACTTGTTAGAAAATAAAAAGGGTACTATATAACAAAATTAGATTAAGTGTAAGTGAGAAAATGGATGGACTTGGAATAGAATGCAAGCATGACAATCATAAATGCTCCCAGATAGAACATGTATATGAAAATCCTTAAACAAGCACCAAAACAAACCATTGTCTGGAGTTTGGAGGAGATAAACAGGAGTTGTAAGCCTACATATGTTGAGAATCTAAGAAACACAAACACTTCTAAGATGGTAACGCTTTATGTTTGACACTAACACGACATGACACTTGTCGAACATTTCTCAACACTTGGACACACAAACAAGTTTATATAAAATAACTTGGAGTCCAATGACAAAACAAAAATAATGTAAATTTATACTTATTCTCCTTCTTTAGACTTGAAAAATAATTGTTTATCTTTATATATATGACATATAATAAATATATTAAATATATATTTTGCACATATCTCCCTAGTGTCGTGTTCTATATTTTTCCAAAATTCCAATGTTGGTGTCGTGTCACGCGTCTATGTCCGTGCTTCTTAGTTGAGAAAAATATGCCATCATCTTGGGCTCTATCTAACAAACCAATTTTTCAAACCCTATATTTGGAAGGGTATGATCAACACCTACATAATATGACTTGTAAAGCAGTCTTGAGGAATTTGTTGAAGAAATAGTCTGAGATTTGATTTTCCAGTTCAGTTTGCATGACCTCCTGTTTGTCAGCCTTTGGGAGCTACTCTTAATTTCATGATTATATAATTCCAACCATTATATTAATTTATAATTAAAGAGGAATCAATTCATGGAGAGAACTAGGAGCTTCTTAAGTAATAAACCACTTTTTTCTAAGCCTGTTTCATCCACAAAGGAAATGCCTTTCCTCTTGGCAATAGGTACCGTTACGTTTGTTTCAGGAGGATTCTATTGGCCCCAGTTGTTTTTGGTCTATGACTAGGACGGCAATGGTATAAGAGGCTACCATAGCAAAAATGTTAGAGGCTCCTCTAAAATTTGTTTACAAGAGAGGACATGATATTACGAAGCAAGTTAAGAGGTTTCCTAAAGTTATTCCTGAGGTATGTGGCATAATCAGCCACATCACACATTACCTTTCCATTGGAGCTAGTAATAGTTGAACTGTTTACCTATGATCTTAAGTTGAAGTACAAATTTTCAGGCCAATTTCCATTTGATCAAGTTCAAACAAGAGAATGAATATGAATTTTTTTCTCTCCTTGCCAATCTTGAAAAAGAAGGTCAATTTGTTATTGATAGGAAACCTGACACTACGTAATTAAACTGCATTATGATATACATAAATAATTTGGAGTTAGGGTTTAGACCATCACCAGAAAATCAACTTAACAATTTACTTTGCGCAGAGATAGATATGATTATGAATTCAAGAATGTGACAGTAATCAGAAAATTAAAACTCACCCTTGTTTCAGTATGAGATGTCGCAAAATTAACACTCAACCTCAATTAAATATGAGGCGTCCTGCAATGGCAGTCCAATTTTGTGGATTTACGTCAAAGATTTCAACGTGGAATTCAAATGGGATTCTGAAGCCATTAGGACTTTAAGCAACCAGATGATGAATTTGGTGTTCCAAGGCTGGAAACCCAATTGAAACTCCACTTCCACATCATGAAATGCAGTCAAAGTTTGGTTGCAGCCAAAAAATCATGCTTGTTCTCTGATGAACAACTTTTAGACACGTAAAATGATGATTCCTGAGTCCCTTTCCCATTTTTCATTTAAGAGTGCATTTAAATATCGTACAAAGAAAGTTGATTCACAGAATTCTACATTCTCATATAATTCATTATCATTTCCAAGGCACTTGAACACTTGTATTCTTGATTAGAGTGAACTTATTGCTTTAAAGGACAAATTCAGTTGACCTTATGTAGTTGATTTTTGGTTTGTGCTGTAATTGGGTAGATAATCACGTATTAAGATTTCTAAAAATAAAAGGATGCAAACTAGCAGGATAGATTCCTCAGGGTGAAAATCTCATGTCTGCTCTTGAAGACCTTTTTTATTCCATTTTCATCCTGAATTAAGCATTTAAGTAAAGTACTCCAGTCTGACCAGAAAGCGTATCTTGTTTTGTTGTTCAGCGAAGTTATAGTTGTTCAACGTATCATGACATTGTCAAGATTGTAATTGGAGAAAAACCCATTTTTATTACCACCATAACCTTGTCTGTGAAATGTTCTTGATCAAGGTTGGCGAAACTTTCTGAAGGTCAGTTGGTTGATGGAAGGCTGGAATGTCTGTACCACGGTTGGCAATTTGAAGGTGATGGTAAATGTGTAAGGATACCTCAGGTTCGTATAGATGGTTCTCGTTTTTATTCTTTTGTTTTGCGCATTACCATTGCACTTTTTATCTCCCAAAAATGAGTTGTATAAATTTCTTTCCCAATTATTTTTTTCCACAGCTTCCTGCCAACGCAATGATTCCTCAATCAGCCTGTCTTAGAACATATGAGGTGAGGGATTCCCAAGGAGTTGTGTGGGTATGGATGTCTCACACGACACCTCCAAATCCTAATAAACTGCCTTGGTTTGAAAATTTTGCCAGGCCGGGATTTCAAGACACTTCAACTACACATGAACTTCCGTATGATCACTCCATACTTCTTGAGAATCTTATGGACCCAGCCCATGTCCCTATTTCCCATGACAGAACCGATTGGACTGCAAAAAGGGAAGATGCCCAACCGTTACTATTCAAAGTCACTGAAAGGACAGATCGGGGTTTTGCAGGCTGGTGGGGAAGAGAAAGAGATGAATCAATGCCAAATTTCTTACGATTTGAAGCACCGTGTGTTCTACAAAACAACCGGGAACTTGTTGAAAAGGATGGGGAGAGACACTACTTTTCAGGCCTTTTCCTTTGTAGACCCAGTGGGCAAGGCAAATCCATGCTCATTGTGAGGTTTGGAGGTACAAAACAATCCCCACTCGCTATGTTGTTCCCAAAATGGTTTTTGCATCATAATGGAAGTAAGGTATTCGAGCAAGATATGGGTTTTCTTTCTTCCCAAAACGAAGTTTTATTGAAAGAAAAAGTGTCGACAGAAGAATTGTATGTGAATTTAAGATTCTCGGACACATGGGTAGCGGAATACAGAAAGTGGATGGACAAAGTTGGGCATGGAATGCCTTATCATTTTGGTCATACAACCATTTCATTGCCTAAAGAGCCTGCTGTGGTGGAACATGCTCCAGCTGGGCTGGTTGCTAGCATTTCAGCTTCTTCGCCGGCCAAGGGAGGGATTGGGACAATGCATGCGCCGAATCTTGCCAACCGGTATTTCCGACACGTAATCCATTGCAAGGAATGCAGAAGCGCTGTCAAATCTTTTCGAGCATGGAAAAATGCGATCTCTGTCGTTGCACTTGTGTCGACAGCATTTGCAATTCTTGTGTCTGGAAGGCAGTGGAAGGTACTCTTTTTGCTTACAAGCAGCGTATGCTTGGCTGGAATATATGCATGCTCAACTGCAATTGCAATGAATACAACAAACTTCATAAGGATACACAGAAGATTATGATTTATGAGCCAGGAGTGGAGCATTTTATGATTTTTTATATTTTATATTTTTAATTTTTTTATCAGGCTTAATGAGAAAGAAAATCTTATAGAATTATGAAGATGGTTATGCTGGATTACTCTGTTGTAAAATTAGTTTGTTGATTTCTATTCAATGGCAAGACCCTTGTGTTTGTAATATCAATTCCGATTGGTAGCTCGAAAGTCTGATGGCTTGAATGGCTTGACACCAAAACGACGTCGTTTTGGGGTTTTTTTTTTTTTTTTTTTTTTTTAACAAACAAGAGATGATGTTTAATACTGGGTTTTGACATTAAAAAAAAAAAAATTTGGTGAATGAAGTTGAAGAAAACTAATGATGTTAACCCAATTTTTCTTGATGTCGGGCAGAAAAATGAAGAGAAAAGGAAGAAGAAGAAGAAAAATGTAGAGAAAACAAAGAAAAAAAATGCAGTTTGGGCCATCATCTTCATTATCTTCAACATCTTCAACATCATCTTCATCTTCATCTTCATCAACAAAAAAAAAAAAAATTCCTCTGCAGATCTGAATCTCATCATCTTTTGGGTAGTTTGTTCATTTTATAAAAGGATGTCCTTAGGGATCCAATGAAAAAAGGTCTGAACTTTTGGGCAAAGAAAATCTAAAAATGGATTTATTGCCCGAGTGCCATTTTTTATATCAAAAAATAACAACTTGTTTAGTAAATTTCCAAGCGTCTATAGTATTATATTAAATGAGCTTTTATTTCGGTTTCTCTCAGCCTTTGTCATGTGGCATTTACAAGAAAAAAGAAAAGAAAAAAAAAAAAAACTACTCAAAACGACGTCGTTTTGGGCAATTCGGGCCATTCGAGCCGCATGAAATTCGAGCTACAAGTCATTTTTCTTGTAATATTGTACAGATGGTTTACAATAGATAGTGAGTGGAGCACATATATATGGGCCATTTCCCAATATAAGCCATTTTTGTATCGTATTTCCAAAACTAGGCCAACTTCTGACGGAATTCCAAAACTAGGTTAAAACGCTATTACTATTCGCGCTTTCACTGTTAGGAGCGTAAATGTAGGTGAACAGTAAAATCGCGTTTACAAATAGCGACTTTGATTAATAAGTCGCTATTACAAATAGCGCTTCTAGGGTTTGTTAAAAACGCTTTTCCTAACAGCGCTTTTTTTAAAATAAAAACGCTATTCGTAATAGCGATTTTAAGAATTTAAAAAAAAAGCAATTTTTTTTTTTTTTTTTTTTTTTTTTTTTTTCAGATCCAAATCTGCGATCGCCGCCACCATCATCGACCATCACCCGTCGATCGCCGCCACCATCATCGTCGATCGCCTCTTCTCTTCTCTCCTCTTTCTCTCTCTCTCTCTCTCTCTCTCCTTCCTCTTCTCTTCCCTCTCTGTCTGTTCGAAAGAATGAAAATGAAGAAAGAAAAAAGAAAAGAAAAGAAAAAAAAACTGCCCAAAACGACGTCGTTTTGGACAATTCGGGCCATTCGAGCCGCATGAAATTCGAGTTACAAGTCATTTTTCTTGTAATATTGTACAGATGGTTTACAATAGATAGTGAGTGGAGCACATATATATTCCCTTTTGGTGAAGTCCATGATGTGTCTTTTATTTATGTTTGCAAAATTTTAAAAATTATAACAAAAATTATTTAGTGTCTATTTTGTTAAAAAAAAAAAAATCATAAATAGCTTATAAAATTTATTAAATTTTAATAAACTAAAAAGAGTTGTTTTAATTTGTTATAAAAACAAATTTTTTGTTTGGTTTTTAAATTTGTAATTTGTATTTTAAATTTTTGGTGAAATTTTTTAATATTTTATATATATATATATAATATTCAATATGTTTTAGAAAATTTATCTATAAACTCCATCTTGAGATACTATGATCCATTTAGTCCCGAGAGATTTATTATAAACCAATTAGTTCCATTGATTTTGGTAAGGTATTTAGTCTTAAATTTTATTTATAAACCAATTAGTTCCATTGATTTTGGTAAGGTGGATTTAATATATTCTCTTGGGTAGAGTTTTATGTTTCTAAACTTGTTCCATACAGATTTAAATTGATTTTTCTGTTTAGAAAATTTGGGATCATAAAGCAATATTTTTTAAAATTTTGTTGAGAGAATCACAGAATTGATTGAAGTGGGTTCCATTTTGGGGGGTCGGATATGAATATATACATTAAGAAATCCACTACATATACGTCAGTGTTCCAACATATACATTAAGGCCATGTTTGTTTGGGTGGATATGAGTTTGGGATTGGACTAATAGTTCAATAAAATTATTAATCTGGTGTTTGGTTAAGCAATTAAAGTACGGATTAATTATTTTAAACTTGACTATTAGTTAAGATAGGATACATAATCCAATGAATTCGTAGTCCTAGGACTATTAGTCATAGGAATGCTAATCCAGTCCGTCCAAACAAACATGGCCTAAGTGGGTGACAATAAAAAATACACATTCACATTAAGTGGGTCACTTACAATGCTAATTTACAAAATGTTTTACTTTTTAAAAACAAGAAGTGGGTCATGTGTAAATGTGTATTTTTGATTTTCATCTACGGTGTATACATTAAGTGAGTTCCAGTGTGAGATGTAACATTGTACACATTGGCTTACATTGAGTATAAGTTATAAGCACAAAAGTCCACTACATGGATTGAACATAGTTTAGGAAATAATTAACCTCAGCTAATGTGGCTTCCAACATCAAACAAATAAATTACGATAATGACTTTTTTTAATTTGGAAATAATCTGAATAACAAATGTAACCCATATTTTAAAAACCATATCATAAAGAGTGCTGCTATTAGCACCTGTCAAAATTCTTTGAACTCCCCATTTTATAATTTTTTTATTACAATTATACCTTAAAGTAAAATTACATTAAAAGACATTATTAAATGGAACACCCACCTATCAATAAGAACTAATACTTTATAATATTGGACACCCACCCCCATGTGTCATCTTCATCACCATCATCAACGCTATTGAACTTGAAAGTTTTGCTTCAAGTATAATGTATACTTCATCACTTATTTTACTGTGTAGAGCAATAGAGGACGAGGACAACAATTCTAGTGAGACCGGCATTCCATTAATAAGTTTATCTGTCTTGTATTAACATTCTCGGTCGTTTTCGGTCGTTCTTGTTTCGTTCGAGCTGTTCGGTATTGGTTTGCTAACTGTTAGAATTATGTTCGGTAATACAGTACTGAACATAATCCTTTCGTTCAATACATAGGTTCCGAACATTAATGCAGATAGTCAGTTATGTAATTTTCTTTGTTAAACTAACTTAGAATGGAAAAGAGTGAATTGGAATGGATTTAAGTTATGTATTTTGAATGGATTTAATTCATGTTATTTTAAGTTGTGAATTGGAATGGATTCAAGTTACACAGTGATAAATAAATTTTGTTCGGACACACAGCGCGGACAGGATCATTATTGTTCGACAAAACAGTTCTGAACAAAATATATTTTTTCGGCTTCACAGTGGTGAACAAATTCAAAATCATCACTCGAATCTGCTGATCTCCTATCGAGATTCTTGAATTCAGGGCATTTAGATGAAAGCTTTAATTTGGTTCTTCTGGCTTGTCTCCAAAAATCCAGATGTAGAAACTGAGATTCTCAAAGAAATCAATGAGAAATCCGAAGCTCCGATCTACGAAGAAGTGAAAGACATGGTTTACACACACATCGCTGAGCGAGACCATGAGACTCTACCCACCTATCCCCATTGACGGAAAGCAAGCTTTAAAGAATGACGTGTTGCCAGATGGGACAGTAGTGAAGAAGGGTTAATTCATGTTATTTTAAGTTGTGAATTGGAATGGATTCAAGTTACACAGTGATGAACAAATTTTGTTCGGACATACAGTGTTGACAGGATCATTATTGTTCGACAAAACAGTTCTGAACAAAATACATTTTTTCGGCTACACAGTGGTGAACAAATTCAAAATCATCACTCGAATCTGTTGATCTTCTATCGAGATTCTTGAATTCAGGGCATTTAGATGAAAGCTTTAATTTGGTTCTTCTGGCTTGTCTCCAAAAATCCAGATGTAGAAACTGAGATTCTCAAAGAAATCAATGAGAAATCCGAAGCTTCGATCTACGAAGAAGTGAAAGACATGGTTTACACACACACATCGCTGAGCGAGACCATGAGACTCTACCCACCCATCCCTATTGACGGAAAACAAGCTTTAAAGAACGACGTGTTGCCAGATGGGACAGTAGTGAAGAAGGGTATGAGAGTGAATTACCATCCTTACGCAATGGGGAGGTCGGAGGAACTGCACTGGACCAAAGCTCCAAACTCTGAAGATTGAGTGAGTCAGGGAAGGATAGGGATGAAAAATTAGGTGGGTGTACATTTCATTGTGAAAATATTATGAATATGGGTAGATTTGCTAATAAGTGGGGTGTTCAAAAAAATATTATTAAAATTTAGGGTTTAGGGTTGGGGTCCAAAGAAATAGGGGGTCCAAAGAATTTTAGTAGGTGCTAATAGCAGCACTCATCATAAATGAGGGGAAGTCGGGGTGGGGTTTGGGTATTCAAAAAAGGGAGAAACTAATATGGAAATCCTCTTGTTTTGGAATGGCTTGATTTGTGAGATTCTCCAAACATTTTAAAGAGTACAAAAATCTTTTAGTAAACTTTGGGCAAACGTGTAATTTCAAGATATGAATATTTCGGTCATTTATGGGTATTAACCACCATTCCGAATGTAAAATGTAAGGTTATTTTGTCATTTCTACATAGATGGGATTGTTGAGTTCATTAAATTATTTGGAAGACTTATTGGTTACTAAGATATGAAAATGAAATTTATATTGGTACTTCCCCCACATGTTTTTGTATTTTTTTTAGTATTTATTAATTTTTAAAAATTTTTTACGTTTTAAGTACATTTTGATTAGATATATCTAAAAAATAAGAAAATATAACTAAAATATGAAAAAAGTTTACTAAAAATAATAAAACATGAAAATAAAAAAAAAAGCTCAAAAATAGTTTTTGGAGCCATCAGATTGGGGGGGGGGAACTCTTGAATTAACCGTGGTGCACTTACGGGAAACTCCTTGCCGAGAGTCTGTGCATCCCTAGAGATTAGTCGGGTTTTGATTCGGATACCCCGGTGCC